TTTGGGTATACTTCCACAGCTGGATGAAAAAGTATTGCTTCACTGCTTTCTTAAGCTTTGTTATTACCCCATTACATGTGTAAGTGCTTCCTTGCGCAACCACGCCAATAGGATAAGGACTATCAAGATAATAGTAAAATCTTCCGATGCAATAGCGCACTTTAGACAATAGGCTTTCGTATGGAACTTACGTGGCCATGAGCTATAATGACGCTGGGGTCAGCACATGGGTAAATGCCGATGCGTGTAACCGCTTCTCACTTGTTTAATGGCTGACTCTTCGTTCACCGCTCTCAGTGCCAGTGTGTGTCGCTGTAATCTGACATTTCTTTCTCAGCCACAAGTTCCGCCAATTAAAGAGTTTAGTTTTGGACATGCTGCCTGCTGCCTTGGTCCACGTCACAAACACAAGAAAATATTGTGATTACCACTCTAACAATCAGTCCGAGTATAAACTGTTGCTGAAAAGGTAACATGCTTGTAATTGGGCTTGATGGACAGTTGTTGCAGGATGGTTTAGCCTGACGATCAAAGGCAGCACTTGATCTCCTAAGGCTTCTTGTTGTTGCAGTGAGATGTGTTGACACATGTCCAGCACATCATTGTTTGTTAAGAGCGCTGGAAAACGCAATAATGACGCTGCCATAAATGAAAAGTTTTTAGGTAGGGTACACCTTGGGTGTTACCGCAAACAATTCGATGTTCTGTAATAGCAATCATTCTTGCGGTTTAACATCACAATACCACCGCATGGTTGTGTGTTGCCACAGTGGGTGGATTCAGAAATTTCAACAACATGGGGCTTTTTATATGCACCTATATTGGTAATTGCAGGAGCTTCAAGTATTTTCACTTTCATTGAATTTGTGGCTGCCGAGGCTATCATTTGATATAGTGACGTGCTGGTCAGCAGCACTTCTCTTTACCGATCACAGACGGGTATACCGTGTATGTTTGTACCCTTCGCTAATAAAGAGACCACTTTCTTTAAAGTACTCACTGACAGGCCTATATCTACATCATTTCACACAGCCATTCACGTTTCCACACGCTGTGCATGCACACTCAAATGAATCGAATTCTGAATTATGGTAATGAGAATGATGTTCACGGGGACCGCCGGTGTGCTTACCAGCCTTTAAAGAATCGGCTTGCATTAAACAATGTTATCGGGACCACCAGGACCATAATGTAAGAACTAGCAGTACCTTAGATGGCCTCCTACCAGTAATAACAAAAAAGTCAGGAAAACCTTGGAGGGAACGCAAAGTGCAAATATGCTAGTAAGGATCAGGTGACATCAGATCCGCTGAAAAATGGAGGACCGATTGTGTTGGAAAAACTGGCCAGTCTGTTTACGAAGTGTCTCCTGATAGGGAGGGTAACACAATCTTTGGATAATGCTAACATTCTTAAGAAAGGTCATGACAATGACGCGAAAAATTACACGTCAATCAGCTTGCTTTCCGTCGTATACAAGCTATTTACTGAACTAATTACTCACAGAATTAAGGCTACAACAAAATTCAATCAACCAAAAGATCAAGTATGATTTCTTACAGGCTACTCACCAATCGCCCGCATTCATACTATCAATCAGGTGATGGAGAAATGCCGAGAAAACATTCAGCTTCTGTAAATAGCCTTCATGGATTACGTGAAGGCATTTTATTCAGTAGAGATATAAGGAGTCATGCAGACACTGCGAAATCAGGGCGTTGATGAATCATATATAAACATCGAGGAAAAAATCTACAGTGGATGAACTGCCCGAATAGTGATTCATAAAGGAAGCGACAGAATACCGATAATGACGGATATAGGACAAGGGGTACGACCTCTATTTACCGCGTACTTACAGGAGGTGTTCAGGTGCAGAGAATGGAAAGAGCCAGCGATACGAATTAGTGCAGAGTACATTAGTGGCCTATACTTCGCCGATGACATTGCATTTCTGACTAACTCAGGGGACAAATTGCGATTCGTGATTACTAAATTACACAAGAAGAGCAGAAAAGTAAGTCCTAAAAATAATCTGTAGAAAATGAAAGTAATGTACAACAACCTCGGAAGAGAACAGCCCTTCGAGATTGGTAGAAGTGCACTTGAATTTGTAAAATAGTATGTCTACTTCGTACAGGTAGTAACCGCAGAGCTTAGCCTCGAGATTGAAGTAGCGAAAAGAACATGATTGGGGTGGTGAACAATCGGCAATAGTTCTCAAATTTTGACTGATAGATTGACACTATCCCTCAAGAGGAAGGTACATAACTGCTGCATCTTACCGGCATTTACTTACGGAGGGAAAACCTGGAGGATTACAAAAAGGGTTCAACTTAATTTGAGAACGACGCAGTGAGCAATGGAAAGGAAACTGGTTGGTGTAACCCTAAGGGACAAGAACAGAGCGGAGCGTATCAGGGAACAAACAGGTGTTCAGCATATCATAGTCGATATCAATAAGAACAAGTGGTCATGGGCATGGAACGTGGCGCGAAGCTAAGATAACCACGGGTCATTGAAAGGATCACACACTAGATTTCAAGAGAGGCAAGGAGGTAAATGGGAGATAGGAAGTTAGGTGGGCATATGGGATTTGGAAGTTTGCTGGTATGAAGAATCAGGAGCAAGCACAGGACCGAGTTGACTGGCAGAACTCGGGAGAGACCTCTGTCCTGCGGTGGACGTGTTCAGGCTGATGATGAAGAAACACTATTAATTTAGTTAACCGACAAGGCACACTCGCAAACAAACCTGTTTTTTTTATTAATCATCATCATCATGACCGATAGCGTCGCTGCTGTCGAATAGTCCGCCTCGCTAGGAAAAAAAGACCTAAATATAAAAAGCGTTGATAACGCCCGGCATCTTTCGTCGATGCCTGAGTGGTCATGGGTTTGACTTCTAGATCATAAAATTCATTAAGCTTCTTATTATGGTATTTACTTGTCATCTGTATACCACTGGCTTATATATGGACGGAAATAAGTCGTTGAAAACTTGATGGACACAAAAAAAAGACTTTCGAGTTGACATTTTTCGCTACGCTGCTGATATATTGCAAGATATAGGCGGATGCTTTTGTATTAATTGCGTTTCAACTAAACATTTTGTTTAGGCAGACCAAACGTGGCGTATTCCAGAGCAAGCGACAGTGAGTACGAAAAGGGAGCTTTGGAAACCTGATTAATATTGGGGTTTAGCTTTATCAGCATGAAGGAAAGCATGTATTCCAAACACTTCTATTTCAAGTATAGTCGATTTAAAAGGAATTTCGCATAATGTTTTGTACAGATATTAAGTTGTATAGGCACTTCGCAAACGACAGCGACTTCGACAGAAGCGTGCCTGACAGTAGCCCACTGATATAGTTATTTGATTAAAGGCTTCGAGCACGTACGAAGGGTCCAAGGCGGGTAGTTTCCAGTTTTGTCGAAGATCGAAGCAGTGCTTTATGTACCGTTTGCAACTTTTGCGAAGCTATGAAGGCCCCAGCTAGCAATACGAAGCATCTGGAGGATATACAAAACACTGCTGTTCAATTGTCCGCGTCCACTTCGCGAAGCCATCCGCATGTACTACATGGAGGTAATTAGGTTAAGCACGCTGCTCTTCAAGAAGAGCTTAAACGTCTGTCGCATCGCTCTGCCGAGCTCGAGGTTCCAAACCCGCCCATTCCAGGTGCATTTCTTTTGAGAAGAGAGGGAGGGTGAAATGAAAAAAATTGCTTGTGTAAGTGGATTTACTTGCCCGTTAACTAACTCATATTCACCGTAATTGTTCTGTAGTTTCGTACTTATTGAAATTCGGTTATGGAACGTGCAAAGCCCAGAACTCAAGTTGCATTTAGGCTAGAATCGAGAATTCTCAGCTGTAAGAAAACTATACTTCAGTGATTGCAGCCACAATACGTTAGGCTATATACCAACTGATGTCTGGATAATGATAAAAAAGTATAAAAGAAGACTCGTTAGCTATGAAAAAACACGAAAACATTGTTATCAAGCCTTTATCTTGCCATGTGAGCCTCTGTAGCGGGGATCCTATGAGGCGAAGCACGTATTTGCGAGACACACACACCAGGCCCTTACCCCATGGAGTTTCATCTGGATGTCCTAGTTTTCGTTTTCGCCGAGAGAGGATGAAATGGGTGCTTGCTGGAACGTGAAGATGGGTACAGCGTAGGACCTCACGATAATATATTTACGTGTCGTCTTAGTTTTTGCCTAGAGGAATAGACGATAGCTACTGACATCACAGCCTGCATCACTTTATCGCGAAAGCGCTGCAATCACATGACGAGCGTGGACCAGGGGAGCTCTACTACTTTTTTCTCGCTTGCGCAGAAAAAACGGAAATACTTGCGAAAACTGCTCACCCTGTTGTGAAGGCTGGTTCCAAAATAACGTACCAATAAACGCAAGCAAAATAGGCAGTGCAGTATTTCGGCATACAGCCGTAGTTAAGGGTGCAATTGGTTTCAATATAATTGCACTGTAAACTCGCTAGTGTCTCATCCTTACAGTACGCTTCTTAGCCCTTCACACTTTCGATTCTCTCACTGCCACGGCCTCGCTTACGTCGAATGGTGCCCGCGGCCACCGTCACATGCAACCGCGGTGAAAGTGGAGCAGTCGCTGGTGCGGCACGTCCCTTCGCTTTGTGGTCAAAAGAGAGCGCTGTTTCTTAATAAAAAAACAACTCTCAGAAACGCGAGAGAAGACGCCTTCGGCATGTTTTTTATCTGCCATTCTCGGCCGCTGGCTGACATAAAAAAAGCCACCTGCAAAAAAAAAAAACAAAAAACAAAAAGAATGCCTGCTCTATATGGTCGTCTGCCTGGTCTTAGTTTCGGCGCGACCACCCGATCCCATATCGGCCGCCGATGTTGAGTTGCGCGCAGTACGCACACTCGCCCTCTTCGAACATGTAAAAGGAGCGCCCCTCACCGCTCAGATAAATCGCAACCTTTGGCTTTGGTATATAAGCAGACGGCGAAGGTTTTTCAAGGCTAGCGGCTGTGCGGCGACAACGGAATGTCAACGTCAGGCTGTGCTCTGGTAAGGTGTTACATTTTGAGGAGGCATGTCGATGTGAATAGCTTTTACTGCAGTTTTTACCAGCCAGCACAGCAAGTGAACACTGAGGTAAAAATGCATTGTTGCTCATTGCTCACTTGTACTCAATTAAGTAAGAGTTTACAGTTGTGTCCTTACTATTTAGCAAACACTAGTGCTTAATACTTGCTCATAGAAAAGTATTAAAGTACTCCTACGAACGTGCCGTTTTACGCAATAAGAAAATACCAAGAGATGGTTTCAACTTGCCAACTGTTGGTGAAGCGAAGTCTTCACAAGCAGCAGAAACTTATTTTGCAAAAACAAGTACCCATAGAACGTTGCGCTCTCCCTGCACTCTGCTGGTCGTGTAGCTAAGGTACTCGTCTGCTGACCCGCAGGTCGGGGGATCAAATCCCGGCTTTGACGGCTGCATTTCCTATGGAGGCGGAAATGTTGTAAGCCCGTGTACTCAGATTTGGGTGCATGTTAAAGAACCCCAGGTGGTCTAAATTTCCGAAGCCCTCCACTACGGCGTCTCTCATAATCATATGGTGGTTTCGGGACATTAAACCCCACAAATCAATCAATCCCTGCACTCTGCAGAGTTAAGATCCCATAAATGTTGATTACGACGTATAATGGCGCAATATGTGTGTTGCTCTAATGGTTTTGGCAGTATTGTTACAGTAATGTAGCACTGTCTTATTTTGGTTTTCTCTAGTAGATGGTACTTAAAAAAAGTCATCAAGTTGCAACTTACGGGTATGACGCGCTTTTTGCGTACTAATATGCGCAAAAACCAGTGAATTTGTTCTAGTTGTGTTAGTATAGTGCCTTTTTACATAGCTACATTTTATTGCTGTTGTTGTGAAACTCTTCCAAAAAGCATACCGTAATCATTTATTTCTAGTGAGCATCGTTTACCGTGGGATATACATTCTTTATTAGAGACCTGTAAATGACAAACAGGCCATGACCGTTAGGACGTCATTTCACATATTCCCTGAAAGTTGAAAGTACGGTGTGAAAGTCTTTGCTAATTTATTCGCGATGTGGAACCGCGTTTTACGAGGGCGTTTGCTCTGAATAACAAGTACGTCGTTCATTCTGCCAATGTCAAAGCAGATTATTTCAATTACCAAGGCTTCTGGAAATAGAGTACTCCAATACTGCAATTTGGTTCTCCTTCTTTCTTTCATTACGCAATGAGTAAACAAAATATATTGGACAAATTAAGAGATAAATTTGGTTCTCAGTAATGTTGCTTTTGTCTTCTAGAAGCAGAAAACTAAGCTGAAGAGTATTATTTGTCTTGTGACCAGAAAATATCAGAGTCATGTGCATGCTACATTTAGACTAATTCAAATATGAGTGAGTAGCACCTAGCGCAAATCGAATGAAGTAGCAATCAATTATGCTTGTAAGTGACGAAAAATAAAGTCTCCAAACTGTCTTGTTACCACATGTTTCACGAGGAGCATGCAGTTCGCATTTATATGTCAACTTTTAATAATATCTGCAATTTCGCATCAGTGAGCACTACTTTTGATCAAAGTTGCTGCCTTGCAGATTATAATAATGCAAGTAAAAGTGATGTACCATGCTTTTGTGTGTCATGTTTGAAGTGGATGTGATTAGTATTATTACATGCTTCATGCATTCGATCTGCGACATATTCGGAGGATGTGAAAATGAAATATTGATATTTCAAATAGTCACTATTAGACTCGAGTAACGAAGAACATGAGAAGACTCAATTGTTATTTCGACGTTTCTAATTTAAGCTCACTCGAAGAAGTTAACCTTTGTGCTCTTGCTCTTAGACATATTTTGATCTAAAGCGTGCACTGACATTGAACAGCATACGGGCTCCTATCATTTTTTTGCCTTCCTCCAAACACGACCCCAGCGGCCGGGATCGAAGACTTTATGCTCGGCCTCTATGTATTTAGCTCGAATATTGTGGCCCACGTTAATTCAGTTATAAAAGTTTTGTGGAACCTCTCTTACCATTTTACTGATGACCTTCGAGTACGGCCTCTTCCAGCATAATCTTCATTAGGCTAAAGAACACCAGGTCGTTCGTAATCTTCAACTTTGACTTCCCCCATAATAATATGGTGGTTTCGGGACATTAAAGCCCAGTTTTTATTATTATTATTGTCATAACTAAACGTATTATGTATTATTATTACATTATTACATTACATTATGTATTATTACATTATGTATTATTAATACATAAGAAAGGAGATGACAAGGACTTGAAGAATTACAGGCCGATCAGCTTGCTCTCTGTAGTATACAAGCTATTTACAAAGGTAATTGCTAACAGAGTAAAGAAAACATTAGAATTCAATCACCCAAAGGAACAAGCAGGATTTAGAACAGGCTACTCAACAATTGACCACATTCATACTATCAATCAGGTAATAGAGAAATGCTCAGAGTATAACCAACCACTATACATAGCATTCATAGATTACGAGAAGGCGTTTGATTCAGTAGAAATATCGGCCGTCATGCAGACACTGCGGAATCAGGGCGTAGATAAAGTATATATAAACATTCTGGAAGAAATCTACAGGGGATCAACTGCTACCATAGTGCTTTATAAAGAAAGCAACAGAATACCAATCAAGAAGGGTGTAAGGCAGGGGGACACAATCTTCCCAATACTATTTACCGCGTGATTACAGGAGGTTTTCAGAAGCTTAGAATGGGAATAGTTAGGGATAAAAGTTAATGGAGAATACCTTAGTAACTTGCGCTTCGCCGATGACATTGCATTGCTGAGTAACTCAGGGGACGAATTGCAACTCAAGATTACGGAGTTAGACAAGGAGAGCAGAAAGGTGGGTCTTAAAATGAATCTGCAGAAAACGAAAGTAATGTACAACAACCTCGGAAAGGAGCAGCGCTTCGAGATAGGTAATAGTGCACTTGAAGTTGTAAAAGACTATGTCTACTTAGGGCAGGTAATAACCGCAGAGCCTAACCACGAGATTGAAGTAACTAGAAGAATAGGAATGGGGTGGAGCACATTCGGCAAACACTCTCAAATTATGACAGGTAGATTGCCACTATCCCTCAAGAGGAAGGTATATAACAGCTGTATCTTGCCGGTACTTAGCTACGGAGCAGAAACCTGGAGACTTACAAAGAGGGTTCAGCTTAAATTGAGGACGACGCAGCGAGCAATGGAAAGAAAAATGGTAGGTGTAACCTTAAGAGACAAGAAGAGAGCAGAGTGGATTAGGGGACAAACGGGGGTTAAGGATATCATAGTTGAAATAAAGAAGAAGAAATGCACATGGGCCGGGCATGTAGCGCGTAGACAGGATAACCGCTGGTCATTAAGGGTAACTAACTGGATTCCGAGAGAAGGGAAGCGGGTTAGGGGGAGACAGAAGGTTAGGTGGGCAGATGAGATTAAGAAGTTTGCGGGTATAAATTGGCAGCAACAAGCACAGGACCGGGTTAACTGGCGGAACATGGGAGAGGCCTTTGTCCTGCAGTGGACGTAGTCAGGCTGATGATGATGATGATGATGATGATGATGATGATGATGATGATGATGATGATGATGATGATGAACTAAACGTAGGCGGGAAGTTGTGGGTGCGCATCACGAAAGGAGATCGCATCTCGATAAAACGTTCCGCTTACTTTAATATTTGTGGCATTCGCTTTACTGAATTCCTCTTAAATTTTGTATACACTAAGTTCCGATCTCCCTCTGAAATACATATTGTATTTAATATTGATTGATTTGATTGATTGATTTGTGGGGTTTAACGTCCCAAAACCACTATGTGATTATGAGAGACGCTGTAGTGAAGGGCTCCGGAAATTTCGACCACCTGGGGTTCTTTAACGTGCACCCAAATCTCCCAAATCTTAGTACACGGGCCTGCAACATTTCCGCCTATATTGTATTTATATTGCGTAACATAAAAGAACAAAATACAAATGATCGGACACGCGCACACGTACGATTGGCACACAAAAACGCAAAAGCGCGCGCATACGCACTACATTGTTGATTTTCATTATGAACGAATACTAATTAGCTTACTTTTCAGTCTTCTTTGTAAAAACATAGCACAGGTAAAAATTGAGATTGGTATTTTCGTTCTTTAAATTCAGTCGTAACTGAATTAGAAAAATAGAACGACTGCAATATTTCAGTGGCGTTGCTCGTTGTACAGCAACTGGCGGGGCAGGTAGATGAAGCTATCTGATCTAGGACCAATGCCAAATGGCTTATTATAAGATCTTGCAGGCTGCGAGGTGTGATACGTTTAATCATGGATTAGAAGTAGTCTGGATAGAGGCCTTATCTCCCATGTCTTCAGAGGCAAACGATTCACGTAACTGAATGCCAAAAGCTGCAAGCTATCGTGAAATACTGACAAGGAGTTCTTGTAAAATAGTCCAGATGGTGCTTATTATTGTTTTAGGTGTTACTTGGTATTACGATTCTTATCATGTGACCTTTCATCACTTATTCGTAGGTCATCGTGGCGTTGTTATGCTTGCGGATGTCGGCAGCCGGGTATCGCCGCTACAGTCATGGAGGCCATGGAGTTTATGTGCGCAAGACCAGCGATAGTGACTATAGACGTGGTCATGGTCATGACCACGACTACAAGACCCACGTAATTAAGGGTCCTACGTTTCTCGTAAAGACTATTCACCATATCAGAAAAATTCACCCCGGAGGCGGCAACCAGGGTCACTACAGCCACGGGCATGGTCATGGTGAAGGACATGAAGGATACGACAAAGTTATTGTCATCAAGAGAGGACACGGCCATGGTCAAGAACATGGTCATGGCAATGGACACGGTGGGGGCCTTGGTGGGGATCATGGTGCCTATGGTGACTGGTGGTGAAGCGCATTTCACTTTTCAACATGCCTCTCGTATACCAAAGGTACGCACTTCACAACTCTGTGTACACTAGAAAAAGTCTTACACACCTCTAATAACCTTATGCTCTTTTACTGCACATTGTAGACGTTTAAAAACGCACTACTTATTAGATAATAATAGTTTTGTGGTCGCAGGAAAATTACCTTTATTATTCGAAAACATATAACGTGTAAATCACGTGAACTTACGAAACCTAACACATAAGGTAGGTACGAACACCTATTGTCCCGCAAGTGTCTGAACTACATAGGATCTCACGTATTGCTACAATAAATACGACGCATCGTAGAAGTGTCAAGCTAACAAAAAAATGGAGAAAAAGTAAGCATTGCGAAAAGTTGTTTTTTTTTTGCGACTGCGCAATACTTCGCTTCAACTGTTGTTAATGGTCATTGGACAACATCAACCACAACTTCAGCCTTGAAGGCATATAATTTGAATAAGGTTATTGTAGTTAAACTGTTATGCTTGACAGAATAACGTTACGGGGGTAGTGAACTTTACTGTAACTTAATAAACATCGACCATGATCCGAACAGGGAGTGCCGTTCGCGTAGCGCCTGCCTACACTGAAGTGGTAGCGCCATTATCCCACGTTGAAAACACGCATGAAAACCATTCGTTATAAAACACCTCTATTTATGGGGCAAGAAATGTTTGTTTGCGGGATGACCTATGTTAACATATGTTTCTCGGGACGCTGCAACCGACATGCCACACATGACGAACACATCTATAAGCTTCATGAAACGGCACACACTTTCTTAATCGCCTCCTTCATGTCCTTCTTTTTCTTCTTTGCTCTCAGAACAATGCACCGGTTTGTCTAGCGTTGGATGCAATAACTTTAATGGGTGAAGGAGTTCGTACAGGAAGACCGAAATGAAGACAGATAACGAAAGATGAATAAAGAAAAAGAATGCGGCGAGAAAAAAGAGTTCTTGGAAAGGAATAACTCGTAACTGCGTCTCGAAGATTGAGCGAGCGTTGTGACCACTCATCTATCTAGGTACGCTTGCCTTGACTTCATATTAGTAAAGAATAGGCAACTATGTAGTAATATGTGAGAATAGTTGTAGTGCATTTACAAAAAAAAGAATAATTTCGCAGAAGGTTTCATTCTGTAACAAGACATCTCAGTTAATGTCATACAATGAAGGCGTATTGTGAACCTATTCATGCAAACTCAAGAAAGACTGTTACTAAAAAATTTAATCTACAATGCTAAATCAACTGTTATTACGTGCATGGTACAACTTAAGCAAATTGTGATGCCAGATATGCTATTAGTGAAGGCTGCTGGCCAATGGAAAAACATTCACACGAATAGAAAGCTTTCTGAATTAGGCCTCAAACGTTCAGAAAGCAATTCAGCTATTTGCAAGACTGTCTTTGTCATTAGATGCGTTCCATGTGTTCATTTAACATGAAGGATGCTTGATCACGGTGAAGGCTCAGCAACCAAATGTTTTCGCCCTTGTATGAAGGCACATATTAGAATTCTAATATTGAATTGGAGTGCAGTGATAGGTTCGTCCTTTCAGGTGGTTTAAAAATGACAAATTTTTCGAAAAATTACACGCACAAAGAAGTGCCATATTTGTTGAGAAATTACTTATAGTATGTGATTCCAGCAACGTGATCAGATCAGTGACAGGGACAGCGCACGTTGACCATCCACAATGCAGGCGACATAGTGTTTTTTGAGACGTTTTATTTAACTTTGCGTTGTGTTCTCGCTGTTTGAGTGCAAAACTTGGGCAAGTTGGAGGAGGAAGAGGAGGAGGAGGAGGAGGATTGAAAGAGGAAGGACAGGGAGGTTAGCCAGTTCTCAGACCGGCTGGCTACCCTGTTTGGGCAAGTTGGTTGTCCATTATACTTACAACCACACAAGAAGGGACAAGGAACTATTGAGAAACGCAGATGAGCGCTGTTTGAGGTATAGTGTACGTTAAAACGGATTTACCGGATGGTCACAAAAATTGCATTTGTCTTTGAGACAGTTTTAACATGAGTAAGCTGATAACCGGTTCCGTGTATGCAACAACTGATTTCACCGTCATATACAGTGAGCAATCGCCAAGACAGTGCTTCTCTTTAGCTTTTTTAGTTGACGTCTGAAGGTGTTTCACATAACCATAACTATAACAGAATATTGTGGAAAACTAGTTAACCGCAACTGAATGCAGCCAACGGCCTTGGGTTCACCGTCATATGGCTCATGATAGGGTTTAATATGTGGCCTAATTAGTGATTGAACTAAGGTCAGTTGCGGAAAACTTTTAATATTCACTTTAGTACCGAGCGCTTTTCGTAACATTGTAGAGGGCATTCGAAAACTACCGTCTATTTGCTTTGGGGCCGCATACCTAAATTGTTTTAAGATATTTTTCTTTCCGTGTTTCAAGATATCCAGTGAAGTATAAAGAAAGACCACGTGACTGCGCTGCTGCCCCAGCATACTGAAGTGCTCTCAAACGTAATTCGGGGGAACAACCATCGTTCTTGATAAGTGATGCGTTCAGGGTCTGCTAGCCGGTTGTCTCTCTCGAAGCACATTTGACAGCGCTTCTCTATGGTATCATATGTGCTCAGTCGCGTGGTTATATTTCCCATTTAAAGGTCTTTCTTTCTATACTAAAACAAAATCTCCACGCAGCATGCACACTGCCACACAAAATTGAAGAGGTCATTTTGATATGCCCTCTATGACGTAACTAAGCGCACTAGGTACTAAAGAGAATGTTAGTTTTTTATCATTTGGTGTTATTTATACTACTTAGCGCAATATAAAAACATAACATGAGCACCATATAACATCCAATACCATATGTCATTTGTTTCACCCAGATGCGGCTAACCACATTTTTAAAAATATTTGGTTCTGTTAATCACTATACCGTATGGCTGGACAGGCACAATCTATTTTCGTGTCTTACTTACCGTATAAATTATTTGGGCTGGCAATTCAAGGATGCAAACAATTTCCCACCTGTACGTTCGTAACTGTCAACACAGATGTGAGCAAGTGATTGTGAAATATGAAAAAAATAATTAACGGGTTTTTGTGGCGATAGAACCAGGTTGGGTGAAGTGGGCCATAAAAAATGTGGTTCTACAAAAGAACTTACATACTTTAGCATGCGATATATGTGAACCTTCAAAATTTTTTACAATAAAAATGTCCAAACTATACAAAAAAGTCAAGAACATGACTCGAGTACACAAAGAAGGTAGTTGAGCGTCATACGTGATGGTGAATGATAGTGTGTGTAATCTTTCTATGGTCACTGGAGTCCTAACACGCCTGCCTTTTCTTTTAAAGCAGCGAACACTATGGTCATATTATGCCAACATAGGCAGAATTCAAAAGCCATAGATCTTTCTAATTATCATGGAAAGGATGCAAGAGGATAGATCGGCAGAACTTGTAGAGCTCACTCAGACTCACCTATGAAATATATTTTACACTTAGAACTCACTCGAACTCAAACTCACCAAAATATTCAGGAACCAGACTCACTCAGACTCAAACTCACGAAAATTTTCTTAAACCGGACTCACTGGGATTTCAGACGCACCAAAACATTACTCACCCACACTCGTTTAGACTAACTCCCGTATTCATAAACGCTTTTTGACGAACTTGAAACCGCGTTCAATGCAGTGCGCTTGAAACGCGTCGGCGCATTAGTGCTGCCTTGGCACTACCTAAAACAGCGCGTTCGGAACGCGTTTGCGCTGCATTGAAGCCAGTGGCAAGTCAAGATCTAGTCAAGCAACGTTTCTGAATACGGGGGTAAGACTCATAGCTTGGTCTTACTCTGAGCGAGTTCGAGCAAGCCGACTCATGGGTGAGTTGGCCTACCTATGTGCACCAGTGATTACATGCCATTGGTATTAGTACGAGGTTAACGCATTGAAAAACTGGCGGCGTTGATAAAGTAAATGGCTAAGGGCGATTATATACAACTCATACGCAGCCAAGATATACCACAAGAAACAAGAACAAATTGTTTATATCAATAATGTGGTTCTTGTAACTAGAATTCATAAGGGAGATCGAATAGCAAGCTATGCTTGTCTCCTTGTTGTCGGAACTATTTTGCATGTATCAGTGCTTCTATTTATACTGCATGTCTACAGTGGGAACATTGCATATGATTCGTTTTTCTCTCGTGACGGAATGTGCACATCGCGAAATTCTTTTGTAACATTGATTTGCCATAAAAGCACAAGCTATGCCATGAATAATATTCCACCCTTGAATTCATGCGCTTTATGTACGCAGAAAAAGCTTACCTATGCTTGCTGGAATTTAAGCGGAGTACATTGATATCGGTGGTCGAATTCAGGAAGCTTTTCATTCTATGCTGTTTGCCATTGGCCTGCATGCACACATAACTAACATTATGTCCCTTCTAGATATTGGCTGTAAGTTTCCCTTGCGAGCGATTCTAGCATAATTGGTGGCTTTTAACAGGTGCCAAAGTGTGCTGTGTCTTCAATGGATGAAAAAGGGTACGTTAACATCACTGCGTAATGGCAACACGTAACGAAGTTGTCATCTAGAGAATGGCAAGATCACTAGGAAGTCCACTGTTGCAGTGCTGCTTCTACTTCGAAATAAAGCGACAACTTCGATCAACTGCCTTGCGAATGACTTCGATATCGTATTCCCCGTACAACTTCTCTTATGAGGGATACGGTTTATGCGATAGTTCAGAAACAGAACATGTTCGAGTTCGAGCAAAGAAAGATTAGGAGTGATGTTTTATGCACCTGCTTACTATTTTTTTCGTTTCTTTCCTCTTTCTTTTCAGATGTGTTTTAACCACCATGTTGAAAATGGGCACACTGAAATTAGGTCGCTGAAACTTCTGTACCTAAATTTACATCACTTTAAAGAAGTTAACGCTTTCAGCAGTTCGTCACATGGAAACGCATGTTCCTCCTGAACGCAGAGCTGGACCTCTGTACTTGTACATATTATTTAAATAAAATTTTGAACATCCATCGTGGTCTTCCTTGACCTCTCCTGTAACATTGGGAAGTACTTTGTTACATCCATTTTTATACATCTTGCCATTTAGTTGGCGTTATACCAAGTAGATTGGGTACATGCTGAAGACCCCAAGTGATGGGAATTTACGGAGCTCTCTACTACGACGTCTCTCATAATCATACCCTGGTTTCCATACATAAAACGCCTACATTTAATAATAATAATAATAATTAGCTTCATTTCCACGCTCTATCCATGATGTTTACAGTTTCGTGGGCCTCTGCTCCTACTTCCACCGGTTCGTGAAAAACTTTGCGGCGCTGGAACAGTCACTCACCGGCCTTCTCAAACAATACGTCCCTTTTTGTTGAGGCCCTCTTCAAGCTGACGCCTTCTCTCAGCTAATCACCGCTCTAACGAAACCTCCTATTATTGCACATTTTGACCCCGATGCTCCTACAGAAGTGCGCACAGACGTGAGTGGTACGGCAATGGTGCAGTTCTGGCGCTAATTCAGCGGGCCTATTACTCCATAGTAATAGCGGGCCTATTACGCTATTACTCTATAGCAGAACCGGAATGTCTCAATGTTGTTTGAGCGGTTTCGAAATTCCTTCTTCACTTCTATGGTCGCCCTTTCCGTGTTATCACAGATCATCACGCACTGCGTTGGCTTTCTTCTCTGAAGGGCCACGCCGTCTCTCCACCATCTTGTGCAGCAGGTGCAACGGCCACTTGCTCATCCAGCTTGGGGTCTACCGTGCGAATCAAGGCACAGCTGACAATCTTGCCCTGTGTGTCCGCAAAAAACGCAAAAAAGCCTATATTGGTACTCGACGGCATCCCACGTGGCTGCGAATGACTTTACCGACCACACCCTCGGATCAGGCGACTTTTCTCCTGGACACAGGGACTTTCTCTGAGTACGCACACTGAGATAACAAAGTTCTTTTCTTTAGAGAAAACGCTCTTCCCGCCACCTCAATTCAAGCTAAGCAGACCGCAGGGAGTCACGTCAGACTCCAGAAAATCAACTCTCATTTAGAGAAAAGGCTCTTCCCGCCACCTCGATCCAAGCTAAGCAGGCCGCAGGCTGTCACACTCAGACTTCTGCAAACCAACTCTTTTATTTAAAAAGAAGGCTGTTCCCGCCACCTCAATCTAAGCTAACCAGACTGCAGACAGTCACACTCAGACTCCTGCAAACCAACTCTTACCCTAATCCTGCGTTCTTTAATAGCATCTATCCGAAAATTTACACGAAGAGTTCTTGCGTGGCTTGTGGTGAGGTTGCCACTTTGAGTCACGGGCTCTGGGAGTGCGGCTCACTAGGCCCGACGTTCAGCAAGGAAGAGCGGGACACGCTCGTGCGAAGGCCCGTTTTTGAAGACCAAAGCCTGGCCGTCCAGAGTTCCCGTGATCGAGCCGGCAGGGCAGACCTGTCGGTCCCATTGTGGAATTAGCCATGTGTGCGTTTTGTGTCGTTTTGCCGGACCAAGTAAAAGTTTATGCACTCACTCACCATCACATAGTTAACTCATCTCGTGGGCTAGCTGTGAAGTGGAGCACTCGTTTATGGCCAGGACCAGACCTAGGGGCGTGCGAAAGTAGCCCCACAGCAACCTTAAGCTGAAAAAGCGCCAGAGATGCCTTCACCGAGGGCTCCTCAGTGAGGAAGCTTTCAGAGTCACATAAGGTGGCTCACAAAAATGAAGGTTCCCTTACTGCAGAAAGAAACGTTTCCTTGTTTGGCCCTTAAGTAAGTCAACCAGTTGCCGCCCTTCACATAATAAGAAACAAAAAATATAAAGAGTTTATTACAGTGATACTGATTTTTTTTCATCTGGGTAAACTCGTGAAAGACAATAAATGCGAACATCTACATCAACCTCCCTCCCTTGAACCGGATTTTAGGATGCTTGGCAACCGCTTCGAGTGTTCATGTTCCTTGAAAACGAAACTGCTGCTGAGTTTCCGGAGCCCTCTGTAGTATTTGACGGTGCATGCATAAATGCCGAGGCACGTAACCGCTTGTCAGATTATCGATGGTTGACGCTTCGTTCGCCGATAGTACGGCGAACATTGATTCCTGAATTTTTAGTTCTTATTTACCGGACAAAATTTAAGCCAAATAAAGACTTTCATTTCAGACATGCTGTCCCTGCCTTCCTCAACGTCACGACCACATGGCAATATGCTGAAGGTGTCAGTCACCAACTCTATGAAAATTGTAGCGAGAAACTATTTGTGTTGCCTAAATTTCTTCAGTTCACCAGATACTTGTGCACTTCTTAAAGTTATTTCATTTCTTCGGTGCTTTCACTGTTGCCTTTACCAGAGGTATATGTCCCAATCATGACACACTGTTGTTAAGCCACAATAAACCATAGTTCTTTGTTCTCATATATACTTCTGTTTCAGTGAAAGAGCTTCGTGGTCCAAGATTTCAATCGTGTGGACAGTGGTCGGTGCTTTGTGGCATTTTTTCAGATGAAAAGTGAAAAAGTTTATAGAGAAACGGGACTCATCAAAGAGGTAGCGAGATGAAGAGATCCACGGAGTTAGGCTCAATCACTGGAACTGAAAAAGACGCTTTGACTTACAAGTATGGCAGGAAGGAGACTAGCCGGCAACAGCTGTATGATAGCGAAAAAGGCAGTGGCTTGTTATATAAGGTCAGACAAAAAAAAGCATACCGGGTCAAACTTTTTTAGCAGAACGGGATGTCCGAAGACGATGCAGCACAACATAATATAATGCCAAGTTTTTCACCCAGCAAGATAGATGAAGAAATTCTTCTTTACGCAGGAGATGGAATTAATACTGATCGAAACATTCAAGGAGCCACGGAACAATTTCTCAACATGGTCAGAACACGCAGTCGATCGGTCAGCAGGCCTCCTTCAAACCGGTCAGTTTATCATGATAGCGCAGCAAGAGGCATGGAATTTACGATTTATTCTCAAAATAAGCTAACGTTCTCTTTTCTATGGATAAATGATGCCATGAGCCCAGATGACTGCGCCGTAACCACTAAATACATGGCCATTGAGCATCAAGAGGTACATCAAGATGCCGCGACGTTCCTATGCACTCACTAGCCTTCAAATTTAATCCGCGCGTTTGAAAAAAAAGAAAAATAAAGTGCTCAAGGTCATGACGCTCCCTCACGAAAAGATGTAGCTTTTTTTCGCTTTTGTACAATGTGCATTCATCATTTTTGTGACAGGGAGCGTGCCGAACGTGTGGTAAATAGCATTGCATCACGCATGCAGCGCGGCGAAGTTGCGAAATGAGAAAGTAGTACCTTTCCGTCTATTGCGTCCCCCCCGCCCAACTTGCTGTTTCCTTCTTTTTTATTACTTTGCGTTTTTTGTGGCAGACGAAGTTGTGAAAGCAACCATTCTAATAGACCGCAGCTGTTATACGAAATATATATAAACAGATGATAGGTATGAAGAATGAAATATAAAATAAAGACACATTCGATGACGAGAGTGTTGGCAGTGAAAGGACCAACACCATTATCTCGTTTTATTTTAAGGTTTCGGCACTGTGCCATGTATACATGAAGGTGCGACACTATCTGTTACGAGCTCGCGCGTTCCCTTTCATGAAGATATTGTTTTAAATAGTTGTTTTATTAGATCAAAACTGAGAAAAAAGGTCTGTTAAACGTTATTATCATCATTATCATCATCAAGCAACATTTTTTCGCGAAAAACTGATGCCTTTCAGAACGCGTGGTGGGAACATCGCCAAAAAATGTTAAAAACACTGCTAGACCACTGCTCAGCTTCCTTGTGTTGAAAAACAGCCTACATGCTTAGATAATGAAAATGAGGGAGACAATCGTTTCAAAAGAATTTTTCGTTTGCCATGGAAGATTGCACGGGGCATTGAAAAGGGTAGCAGGAGTGTTTAGCGAAGTGTCGAGTGAGAAAAGCGTAGAATAGCTGCTATTCTATATTTACTATTGGCGTCAAATGAAATGCGAACAGCAGCGATCCGTAGCAATGGTGGCACCCGCACCCCAGTCATCACCATTGATATGCGCGCACGTTCAGTTTGACAGCACTGAACTTACGCGCTATTATACAAGAGTATTACTAGATGATGGGCATCTATATCAATGCGAATGCGTGTTGCTGTCCACATTTTATTTAGTGCCGAACATAGACCACGACAGAGAGCGAGAGATGCAAAGAAAGACAGGGAGACAAACAAGATGCACGTCTAGTTTGCCACAATGCGTTCGGGGAAGTGATAAAGAGGGTGAATAGATTGAAAGACAAATAAAAGAAAGACACAGAGAGTCAGAGTCTTAAAGAGGTACCCTCTCGCAATCGTGCTCAGAATGTTTATTAGTTCTGCGCTGAACAAATGGCGTAGGCTTCATACCAAGATAGACCAGTATACCAGTAAATCACAAAAACTTGAATATTCTCAAAGTTGGCTGTCAAGTGCGGCAAGTCCAATCAAATACTTCTGTGGTACACTTCGTCCCCCTTTCCTGTGATCATGTGTCTGTTAGGCACACGAAACGCCACAATAATTATTGCAGCGTTCCGCAAAATTATCGCAAAAGTACAAGCTCTTGGGAAGGCAAGTTACCTAACAGAACACAACACTCGGATAATTATGGATGTATTCGCCTATTCGACAACAATACCATTCTTTGAAGTCACAGGGCCGACGCAGCAGTATTATGAAATAGTCGCGGCGACAGGCTGCACCCAGGCACGCCATGTATGCTAGCATGCTACCTCGATTAGTCTACGCATTCGCACTAGCATCGACTTTAAATTTTCAGCACGTATAGCGCGAGATAATACTAAATGCAGCATTAGGCGTCACCCCTAAAAGGCCTATCATCAGTCTGACTACGCCCACTGCAGTACAAGGGCCTCTCCCATGGTCCGCCAGCCAACTTCGTCGTGTGCTTGCTGCCGCCACTCTATAGCCGCAAACTTCATAATCACATAGTAAAGATCACATAGTTAACCATAGTA